TGACAGGATCTCCTGAGCTATTTGGGAACATGGGGGAAGGGGAGAGGGAGTTAGGAGAAAGAGAAGGGGAGAAGAGGAGGGGAGAGGAGGACATTAGAGGGAAGAATAGAGGAGAGCAAGAAAAGAGATACCATAATATAGGGAGCCATTATAAGTTTAAAGAGAAATCTGGCACTAGGGAAATGACCAGAGATCTACAAGGTTGACCCCAACTAAGAATCTAAGCAATAGTGGAAAAGCTACCTTAAATGCCCTTCTCCGATAATGAGACTGATGACTACCTTACATGCTATCCTAGAGCCTTCATCCAGTAGCTGGTGGAAGCAGAAGCAGACACCCACAACTAAACACTGAACTGAACTCCTGGAATCCAGTTGCAGAGAGGGAAGAGTGATGGACAAAGGGGCCAAGACCAGGATACCCACAGAAACAGCTGACCTGAACAAGAGGGAGCTCATGGACCTCAGACTGATAGCTAGGAAACCAGCATAGGACTGACCCAGATCCCCTGAATGTGGGTGTCCATTAGGAAGCCTGGGCAACCTATGAGACCTCTGGCAGTGCATCAGTATTTATCCCTAGTATACAAATGGACTTTGGGAGCCCATTCCACATAGAGGGATACTTTCTCAGCCTAGACACGTGGGGGAGGGCCTAGGTCCTGCTCCAAATGGTAAGACAGACTTTGAAGATTCCCCCATGGAAGGCATCACCTTCCCTGAGCAGAAAGGAAATGAGATAAGGGATTGGTAGGGGCAGGAGAGGAAGGGAGGGAAAGGGAACTGGGATTGACATGTAAAACAAGCTTGTTTCTAATTTAAATAAAAAAAGGAAAAAAGAAATATAAATGAGAATTTCTACTTGTGATATTTGCCTAGGGGACTCCCTTCTGGAATGAAGCACCCAGACAGCGGTGACCAAAAAAAAAAAAAAAAAAAAAAACATGGAGAACACCTCTAGTATAGAGGCAGACCGAAGTCAAACCTAGAGACAATGCACTCTCCCATGCTTGGACATCAGGAGTATTCCTGTTCCAACTGCCTAGTCCACTGCAGTACTAAGCCCTAGGAAAATACTGCCAAAGCTAGCCCAGCACACCAAGGCTCAGAGGCCTCCCCTTCAGGACCTGGACCCTCAGTTAAGCTTGTCCATTGTCATTGCCTTCTGAGAGCATGCCAGCCACCATGTCTGATGTCTCCTATGCCAGACATCTTGACCCAGAAGTTTAGTGGTCGTAGTCTCCGTATCCCACAGGGGCACCCACAGTTCACCAACTGCTCTCACCTGCTCTGATTCACAGATGAATTTCTGGAGTGATTTTTCCACCTACCTGAGTGCCCAGTCCTCAGCTGAGCTCCAGTCCCATTCAGAGTAATGAAGCCAAGAGCTAGATACTTGGGACAGGATCTGTTAAGGGGCACAGTTGAACAGGCCGGGCAGGACAGGGTGACACGTGTCAGGACAGAGTCTGACCGGACAAGGCCAGGCAAGATAGGGTACCTGGGAGAGGGTCCCAGAAGACTCCAGCTGTGGGACAGAGGCTGGGAGACCAACTCAGCCCTGGCCGGTAGGCCCAGTCCTGACCATCTCAATGTATAGATCCAGTTTCCTTACCTGGCTCTTTCCAGGGTACATGTCTGCAACACTATAATGACTAATCCTGGTTATCAACTTGACACACTTAGATACATAAAACCTCAGTTAAGGTGTTGATGTAATTTTGCCTGTATATGTTGTATATACTTATTGTACTTGTATATAGTTTTATGCTATCTGTAGCCTTCTTCTTTTTGTATTAGACAAAAAAGGGTAATTGTGGTGATACATTGTTTGTGATTTATTAAAGCTTGCCTGAGGATTCAGAAAGCAAAGTCAGCCACAAACCATAGAAGCCAGGCACACCCCTTTAATCCCCGGATTCAGGATTAAGAGGAAGATGGATCTCTGTTAGTTCAAGGCCACAGTGACTACACGAAATTGATCCAGTGCTAAGAGAAACAGCTCACACAAAGGTGATCTCAGCACTTGGTGTCACACACCTTTTAATCCCAGTAAAAGATAAGAGCAGGGTCTTCAGTAGGCCCAGCGTCAGGATTCTCTCCAGCCACTCTGAGGAGAGGCAGCAGTCTGGGACTTGGTGAAGAGCTCGTAAATCAGCCCTTCCAGCCTGAGTTAGAGACCGCCTGCTTTACTTTTCTGATTTTCAGCTTGAAGCTTGAACCCCAGTACCAGTCTCTGGGTCTTTTAAATTTTTTTTGCGCCACATTAAGGAATTGCCTGCGTCAAATTGGCCTATGGGTACAACTGTGGGCCTTTTTCTTGACTGATAACTAATGTGAGAAGACCAAGCCTGCTGTGGGTGGTCTTTTGATAACTGGGCCTGGACCACGTAAGAGACGCAGCTGAGCAAGCCAGATAAGCAGCATTGCTCCGTGGACTTTGCTTCTTCTCTGCCTATGTTTCTGCCCTGACTGCCCTCAGTGAGAGATTTTAAGTTATAAGACGAAACAAACCTTCTCTTCCCCCAAGCTGCTTTTGGTCGTGGTGTGTATCATAGCAGCAGAGAAGCAAGCTTGAACACCTATTTATGTTTCCTGGCGTATGTCCACAGTAGGTAGGGCAGAGAGCTTCAGACCGAGGCCATGGATACTGCAGATGAGGGACACAGAAAGCAGGAGTGTAGACAGGTGGGTTTATTGGGGGACATCAGCCAACAGTAGCTCTGCACAGCTGAGAGATGACAGGAAGGTCAAGAGCTTCCTCCTGGGGTGTCAGGTCTGTCAAACTGCAGCCTATAATGCATATTGTACCACAGGAAGGGACTAAGACCCAGGCAGGCAGTAAGTGCCTGTAGCTTAGTTAGACCTCTGCAGTGAGTAAAGAGGAAAAAGCCTAAGAGTACCCAAACTGTGGGCTGGGAAGGCCATAGAAGGTACCTTCCACTCCCCTACCAGTAACTGAGGAATTACAGCAGGGACAGGTGGAGCTGGGGGTGGGGGGGAGTCAGCCCTACCTCTCCTCCTTTCAAGAGACCACCTCAGATAGATCAAAGAAGACAGAGACTCTGGTAAGAGTTGGGGCTTGAGGATTCAAGACCTACAGCTCTTCCACACAGCAGGACCCAAGCCAAGAGAACAAGAAAGGCTGGCCCTCTCCTGGCCCCCACTCTTGAGCAGGGACCCTCTAGAATATGGTCCACTCTCCCTCCTGCTCACCCCATATTCTCATGTCCCCAGGTCACCAAGTCAGACACCAACTTTCCTGTTCACCCACCCCACCTGTGTCCCAGGTCCCGAGGCCACAGTCACCTGCCTTCTGATCGCTCCACACCGTGTGTCCCCCCAGGTCCTTACTTACCCGAGTCTTATGCCTAGATTGGGGCTATAAACCTCCATAACCCCTAGGCACCCACTGCTGACCTGTAGGGCCCATCTCTGAACAAACTCACATAAGTAAACATAGACTCTGCCCTATCTTGACTTCTCCTGACACCTCCAGGGCAAGTCCCCTGGCAGAAAACAAAAAATAAAAAAATAAATAACCTTTCTCTTGGAGCACTGAACTTCTGCCCTGTCCCACCCAGGACAGCTAAGACCTCTTGCTGAGAGTCAGAAGCTCTAGTGGAGACCAGGAGGGGACACACCCTCCCTGGGGATGGGTGGCACACCATCAGCGATGCTACCCTTTAGGACCATTCGGGATGACACTTCAGACTTAATTTAGGTCACTTTCCTATTGTACAAATAGGATCAGAAAGCAAAGGACAGCCTGAGTACCTGACAGGCACCCACGTGCATTGCAGAGGTACCCAGTCCTGGATCAAGTACCTCCGGGGGCTGCCCAGGAAGGGGCACTGACCCCCCCAGACCTTTCCCTGTAGCTGATAAACAACTCAAATACAGATGAGTGAGAGAGGAGGTGGTCCCACCTCGCATCTGCTCTTAGTTTAAAGAGAAGGAAAGACCCCCGGGCTCCAGAACTTCAGCAATTGTTTTGAGAAAAATCAATGGTCCTTGACAGGAGATGACTGGCAGTTTGGGGGGTCAGGATCTCCACACTCTGTGGCTCCTGTGAGGTTTGAGTCAGGGTCCCTGTGGTCTGTGGCTGGGGCAAGGTTTTAGCTGAGCAGAGAACCACAGTGCTAACTGGGACCACAGTGACTCACGGTTTAACAAAAACCTTCTGTTTGGAGCTTCCCAGGGGCAGACAGGGAGCTTGAGGGAGCTGAGGGACAGAGGGGTGGGTCTGAGAAGAAGGGTAACTTTCTCAAAGACAGGAGACAGTGGGGGGGGGGGCGGGGGAGGGAGTCACTGTAGACAGGTCCTGGACTCCTACATGGGGAAAGCATGGAAAAACACAGGCAGCAGAAGGGTACAGTGCCTGTCAAGGACTAATGAGAGTATCCCAGGTCAGAGCTAGGCAGGCGGGGTTTGCTGAGAGTCCAGGACTAATGAGAGTATCCCAGGTCAGAGCTAGGCAGGCAGGGTTTGCTGAGAACCCAGGACTAATGAGAGTATCCCAGGTCAGAGCTAGGCAGGGAGGGTTTGCTGAGAGCCCAGGACTAATGAGAGTATCCCAGGTCGGAGCTAGGCAGGCGGGGTTTGCTGAGAGTCCAGGGTAGGTGTGGCTTCCTCACTTCTTCCTCTGGCCCTTCTGTTTCCTTCTTCTCTCCCCTCTTTACAGGGTCTCACTACGCTAGCCCAGCCCATCCTACAAGCATGTCCCATCCAGCTGAGCTAGAGCGGAGAACTCTCCAAACAGTTAAGTTTCTGGGGCCTGGAGCCCCCGGAGGACCACAAGTGACTTGGGGGTTGGGTTTTTTAAGGCCCTGAATATAGGGCTACCTCACTGTGCCTATGCTTACTTCGATTTATGGGGTCAGGGGACCCAGGTCACCATCTCTTCAGGTAAGTAACTCATCTGGGAACTGTGGGGTACCAAGTCAGGCTGTGGTGAGGGTTTTAGTGTAGGAACACAGGCAGAGAAGACGCTGTGCTACTGGTACTTCGATGTCTGGGGCCAGGGGATCCTGGTCACCGTCTCCTCAGGTAAGAACTCCTCTGACTGGCAACTATCCAAGTCTCTAGGTTCTTTAGATGATCTGTGTCAGTCCAAATGGGGGTCAGGTTTTTGTTTGGACAGCAGTAGGGACTGTGTCCCTGTGCAATGCTTTTGATCCCTGGGGCCAGGGGACCCTGGTCACCGTCTCCTCAGGTAAGCTGACTTTCAGCATCCTGCATTCCGAATCTGGGAAAGATATTCCCGGGTGTCTCCAACTTGGGCCAACCTCCGACTCTGCGTGGTGCAGAAGTTGTTCTGGAAGGATGGAGCCTTTGCTCCCAGGCAGGCAGAGGCTGTAATATGCTAGATGGCGACAACTATAGGAAACAGACCTTTGTACTGTTTGGCTGGATGGATAGGGGTTTGGGTTTTTGTATGCCCATTAAAGGGGCTAGTGGCAGTGTGACTACCTTGATTTCTGGGGCCAAGGAACCATGGTCACCGTCTCCTCAGGTGAGTCCTTCCAGCCCATCTCTTCTACTCAGCTCAGTCAGACTTTACTGCATTTGTGGGGTAAAATGAGTGTAACTGAGTTTTGGGTCACGAAGAACCAAGGGACCACCTGGGAGTCAGGAAAGGGTCTTCATGGGCCCTGGCTGACATAGACAGACACCCTCAGCTCCCAGCCTTTATGGTCAGGGGTCCATGGGGATCTTGGTCACCCTTGCCGCTAGGGTCCCCTTATCTTTGTCCCTCATTGGGCTCTGTCTGAGATGATACTGGGCGCAGCCAAGGGCCATTTATTGTTTGGGATCTTATCACAGTTGTCACAATGTGATGACTGGTTTACCTACTGGGGCCAGGGGACTCTGGTCACTGTCTCTACAGGTAAGTCTTACCTTCTCCCATTCTAAATGCACTTGAGGGGATTCTGAGCATTCAGGACCAAGATGCCCTATAAATGGGAAACTAAAATTCAATTTCTTTGCCCCAAGTTTGAGACACAGGGGTCTGGGTCAGGGCTCTCCGCCCTCTGGTCTGTGGTGATAACGGGACTGAAGTATCATGAAGGGTCTGCTAGAACTGAGGCTTTAAGTCTGGGGCAGGCTCCCTTCTGGATCTATTAGACTCTGGTGTGAATTCGGGGCTGTCCATTTACGGTGACAAGTCCAGGATCAGTGGCTGTCTGGTTTCTCAGAGGTGAGGCTGGGATGTGGGTCACCTTGAAGACTAAAGAGGGGTCCAGGGACTTTTGCCCAGGCAAGGAAAGGAATGTGGAACAATGACTAGAATGATTGGTCCTTGAGGGGTGCCGGGAGAGCGCATAGTGCCAGAGTTGCCCCCGGGGTGACTCTAGTCAGGCTCGGGGCGTTTTTTGTGCGGTATCGATGGAAATTTCACTGTTGTGATTACTATGCTATGGACTACTGGGGTCAAGGGATCCAAGTCACCGTCTCCTCAGGTAAGAACTGCCTCTCTGGGCCTTCATTTTTTTTTTTTTTTTTTTGGTTTTTTGGGCCTTCATTTTTAACGTTTGCCTGTGGAGTTTTCTGATCATTTCAGACTAGTCCTGGAGATTTGTCTCTGAGGGAACATGGGTGGCTGGTGGGGTGAGACTGGGGACTAACTGCCTAGGGGGGTCTCAGAGTCTTGAGGGTGATTCTACACCTTTGGAAAACTACTAGGGAAGGACCTGTCTGATGGTATTGGGGGAGACAGACCCTGGATGATGGGGCAAGGGACTTGAGGGCCTCGTTTGAATGAGATGCTAAAAAAGACCCATGTCTGGAGGGATTACTTTGAACTGTGGTGTTCAGTGTTTGGAGTCACAGTGTTGGCTGAGAAATGTCCTTCACGGCCACGTCGGTGGCAGCATTCCTGCAGCGGCAGCCTGCACAGGCACGGAGAGTGGGTAGAGCACTTTCTTTAGATTTGCGAGGAAAGTTCTGCACTTAATTGCTTAAAACTTTGTTGTTGGGAAGAGAACTGTCTGAGTGAATCAAGCAAGGAAGGCAGCTAGCCTTGGTCTTAGAGATAGGCAGCGGGCTCATCTCAGAAAGACAGCTGCTACCTAAAGGAGTATGGGGAGCCTACAGACAGAAGTCCAGCATTCCAAAAAAAAAGTGCTTATGGAATATTAGAAGGTATTATTATTTCTATCCTTAACATGGTTCCTGAGAAAAATAGCTAGAACACTGTGACTCAAAAATGGGAGAGATTTTTCAAGTATTCATTTTTTTCAAATGTCCAAGTATCAAAAATTCTAGTCACTTAATTTGAAGTCATTTTCGTCTAGAATTGGCATTTCTGAAAGTTCCACTGAGGGATGGCGACTCGGATCTTTCACACCCTATTCAGAACTGATTTTTTAATAACAACAAATTAATTTTAAAGTATTTTTAAGTGAATTGGGCAAAGCTGAGATGGAGTCAAAAGATGGCTGACCAGGACCAGGACACCTGCTGCAGCTGGCAGGAAGCAGGTCATGTGGCAAGGCTATTTTGGGAAGGAAAAATAAAGCCCCGAGGTAAATTTCTAGCTGTGGTTTGAAGAGGTAGTTTCGAAATGTTTTGCCCAGCCCCATAGAACTGAAAGTCCAGACTGAGCAAAACAACACCTGGGTAATTTGCATTTCTAAAATAAGTTGAGGATTCAGCCGAAACTGGAAACATCCTCTTTTAGCCTAAGGCCAAGCTTTCAGTTTTAACTTGGGAAGTTCTAGTTTCCAAAGACTTAATTTTATCTACTTCTAAAATGTATTCCTTCTCAAACATAGACTAAGTGACAGACTCAGTCTATTTAATTTCTAATGTATTTAATTTCTAATGTAGTTAGAAAACTTTTCAAAATTACTTGATTATTCCTCCCTCTGATGATTGATTTCAACTCAGCTCTTTTCCCAACACCCAAAACGTTTACAGTGACTTTGCTCATGATTTTTTAAGCTAGTTGTTTTGCTTTTATGATTAAGAAAGACTTTGACTTCATGATAAAGACGGCTCTCTTGGCTCCCTACGTCTTTCTCAAGACTGCTTTCTAAGTATTCATTTTAAGAAAAAGCTTTTTTTTTAATGAATGCAATTATCTAGAATTATTTCAGTTGGACATGCAGTTGATGGCTGAGAAGACACTCAGTCAGATAGTGATAAAGAAAGGAAGCATCTAAGCCAGGGACATGTTCTGTTTGAACCCCCACTGGCCCTGCCCCAAAGATCTGAGACCCTGTTGGTGCTGGGCAGACCCGGACTTTGGGTCTCCCGGGTTCATCCAGACCTGGGAATGTACAGTTGTGGTGGCTTCTGCCACCCATCCACCTGGCTGCTTGTGGACCAGCCAGTCTTGATGGCCTTGAAGTTCCACTCAAAGACCCCGGACCTCCCTGAAACCAGGCACCCCAAACGGTAAGCCAGAGGCAGCCACAGCCGTGGCTGCCACACTTCAAGTTTGTGTTTGCTGATTGTCTCTGCTTGAGAGGGACTTAGTCTTCAGTCACTGCTTTAGGAGGACAATGAGACTTTTGTGCGTCTTCTGAGTGCCATTGTCTGGGTGGCTCACATTTAGCTTCTCTTTCTAAAACCTGTAAAAGAGAAAGGTCGCCTGTTATCTGTTGATTACGGGGCTCTGGTATTTCAAGGAAATCTTCGAGAAAGTGTTTATGATTGTCTGGAATTGTTTCAGTTAAGTGTATTACTTGGAGTACCGGGGCTGTCTCTGCCTCAGTTATACAAGTGGCTTTGAATTTCGTGTCAATGCTGCCTCATCTTAAGCAACAGATAAAATGAATGCCCCGGTGGTGGTCAATGGTGGTTTTAATCTAGAAGGAACTTTAAGTGGAGGCTAACTAAGACTCAGTAAGAGAGGTCCGGGCTAAGGAGTCAACGCTGGGATTCTGGAGGGAAAGACACTTTTAGTTTTCATGGAAAACACTGCTACCTTCTTGAGCCACATCTCAGGATGGTCTGATGAATTTGAAGTTGCCCGTAAATAGTACATGTACTTTGAGCCTGTTCAAGGGCGGTGTCGAAGGGCAGTGCTTTGAAGCCAAGGTCAGTGTGAAAGTCCAGGGTGTGGATGCTCAGAATGAAGGCCACAGCTGGACAGAAGCGAGGGGAAAAGAGACAGCTGCAGCTGAGGCCAGCAGGTTGGCTGGGCTAACTCTTCTGGCCACTGCGGTCCCAGTCACCAGTAAAGAGCAGGACAGAGAAGGCTGGTCTAACCAACCTGACTGAGCAGCCTTCCATGAAGAAGGTTGAGAGCCCTGGGAAGCTAGGCACTGGAAAGCATTGCTGTCCTGAGACAGGGAACCTGAACTGGGCAAGGCTCAGCTTCGGAGCTCTTCTAAGATGTGCAAAGCCGAGCTGATCTTTCTGGGCAAGCAAAGCTGGCCTTGATGAGCTGGGATGAGGTAGACGGTGCTGAGCTCAGGAGTCAGACTAGCTTAGCTCACATGAGCCAAGCTGGGCTGGACTGAGCTGGACTGAACAGAACTGAGCTGGGGTGAGCTGAGCTGGGCTGAGCTGAGCTGGGCTGAGCTGGGGTGAGCTGAGCTGAGCTGGGGTGAGCTGGGCTGGGGTGAGCTGAGCTGGGCTGAGCTGGGGTGAGCTGGGCTGGGCTGAGCTGAGCTGAGCTGGGCTGGGGTGAGCTGGGCTGGGGTGAGCTGAGCTGAGCTGGGCTGGGGTGAGCTGGGCTGGGGTGAGCTGAGCTGAGCTGGGCTGGGGTGAGCTGGGCTGGGGTGAGCTGAGCTGGGGTGAGCTGGGGTGAGCTGAGCTGGGCTGGGGTGAGCAGGGCTGAGAGGAGCTGGGGTAGCTGAGCTGAGCTGGGCTGGGGTGAGCTGAGCTGGGGTAGCTGAGCTGAGCTGGGCTGAGCTGAGCTGGGGTAGCTGAGCTGGGGTAGCTGAGCTGGGCTGGGGTGAGCTGAGCTGAGCTGGACTGAGCTGGGCTGGGCTGGGATGAGCTGGGCTGAGCTGGACTGAGCTGGGCTGGGCTGGGATGAGCTGGGCTGGGGTGAGCTGGGCTGAGCTGGACTGGGGTGAGCTGAGCTGAGCTGAGCTGGGGTGAGCTGGGCTGGGGTGAGCTGGGCTGGGGTGAGCTGAGCTGGGCTGGGGTGAGCTGAGCTGGGGTGAGCTGGGCTGGGGTGAGCTGAGCTGAGCTGAGCTGGGGTGAGCTGGGCTGGGGTGAGCTGAGCTGAGCTGGGCTGGGGTGAGCTGGGCTGGGGTGAGCTGAGCTGAGCTGGGCTGGGGTGAGCTGGGCTGGGGTGAGCTGAGCTGGGGTGAGCTGAGCTGAGCTGGGCTGGGGTGAGCTGGGCTGGAGTGAGCTGGGCTGGGGTGAGCTGGGCTGAGCTGGGGTGAGCTGGGCTGGGGTGAGCTGAGCTGGGCTGGGGTGAGCTGAGCTGGGCTGAGCTGGGGTGAGCTGGGCTGGGGTGAGCTGAGCTGGGCTGGGGTGAGCTGAGCTGGGCTGAGCTGGGGTGAGCTGGGCTGGGGTGAGCTGAGCTGGGGTGAGCTGGGCTGGGGTGAGCTGGGCTGGAGTGAGCTGGGCTGGGGTGAGCTGAGCTGGGCTGTGGTGAGCTGAGCTGGGCTGGGGTGAGCTGGGCTGGGGTGAGCTGGGCTGGGGTGAGCTGGGCTGGGGTGAGCTGGGCTGGGGTGAGCTGGGCTGAGCTGGGGTGAGCTGGGCTGGGGTGAGCTGGGCTGGGGTGAGCTGAGCTGAGCTGGGGTGAGCTGGGCTGGGGTGAGCTGAGCTGAGCTGGGGTGTGCTGGGCTGGGGTGAGCTGAGCTGGGGTGAGCTGAGCTGGGGTGAGCTGGGCTGGGGTGATCTGAGCTGGGCTGGGGTGAGCTGAGCTGAGCTGGGCTGGGGTGAGCTGGGCTGGGGTGAGCTGAGCTGAGCTGGGCTGGGGTGAGCTGGGCTGGGGTGAGCAGGGCTGAGCTGAGCTGGGGTAGCTGAGCTGAGCTGGGCTGGGGTGAGCTGGGCTGGGGTGAGCTGAGCTGAGCTGGGGTGAGCTGGGCTGGGGTGAGCTGAGCTGGGGTGTGCTGGGCTGGGGTGAGCTGAGCTGGGGTGAGCTGAGCTGAGCTGGGGTGAGCTGAGCTGGGGTGAACTGAGCTGAGCTGGGGTGAGCTGAGCTGAGCTGGGGTGAGCTGAGCTGGGCTGGGGTGAGCTGAGCTGGGGTGAGCTGAGCTGAGCTGGGCTGGGGTGAGCTGGGCTGGGGTGAGCTGAGCTGAGCTGGGGTGAGCTGGGCTGGGGTGAGCTGGGGTAGCTGAGCTGAGCTGAGCTGGGGTGAGCTGGGCTGGGGTGAGCAGGGCTGAGCTGAGCTGGGGTAGCTGAGCTGAGCTGGGCTGGGGTGAGCTGAGCTGGGGTGAGCTGAGCTGGGGTGAGCTGGGCTGGGGTGAGCAGGGCTGAGCTGAGCTGGGGTGAGCTGGGCTGGGGTGAGCAGGGCTGAGCTGAGCTGGGGTAGCTGAGCTGAGCTGGGCTGGGGTGAGCTGAGCTGGGCTGAGCTGGGCTGGGGTAGCTGGGCTGGGGTGAGCTGGGCTGGGGTAGCTGAGCTGAGCTGGGGTGAGCTGGGCTGGGGTGAGCTGAGCTGGGCTGAGCTGGGCTGGGGTGAGCAGGGCTGAGCTGAGCTGGGGTGAGCTGGGCTGGGGTGAGCAGGGCTGAGCTGAGCTGGGGTGAGCTGGGCTGGGGTGAGCAGGGCTGAGCTGAGCTGGGGTGAGCTGGGCTGGGGTGAGCAGGGCTGAGCTGAGCTGGGGTAGCTGAGCTGAGCTGGGCTGGGGTGAGCTGAGCTGGGGTAGCTGAGCTGAGCTGGGGTGAGCTGGGCTGGGGTGAGCTGAGCTGGGCTGAGCTGGGCTGGGTGGGTTGGGCTGGGGTGAGCTGGACTGAGGTAAGAAAACTAGGCTGGGATCAATTGGCCTGAGCTGGCTGGGTGCATTGGGCTGTGGTGAGCTGGGTTCAGCTAAACTGGGCTACCCACACTAGGCTGAGCTGGGATGAGCTGGCTGACTGGGCAGAACTGGGCTAAACTGGACTGACTTAGGATGGGCTGGGTTTAACTAAGCTAGGCTGAACTGGACTACCTGGTAGGCTGAACTGAGCTGGCTAGACTAGTTTGGAATAAGCTGGACTAAGATGGGCTGTGGTAAGCGGGAATGACTAGGCTGACTGAGCAAGGCTACCATGAACTGGGCTAAGGTGGGCTGAGATAAGATGAATTGAGTTTGTGCTAAATGCTGCTGGTATGAACTGGTGTGAACTGGTATGAACTGGTGTGAACTGGTGTGAACTGGGCTAAGTTGTCTGAGCTAAAAGTTGGGCCACCCGAGCTGAGCTGGGTTGAACTGGGATGAGCTAGGCTAGCCGGGCTGGGCTGAGCTGGGCTGGACTGAGCTAGCCTGGGCTGAACTTGACTGAAGAGGACTGAGCTTGGCTAAGCCGGCTGAGCTGAGCTGAGCCGAGCTGAGCTGACTAGGGCTAAACTGAGTTAAACTATGATCTGTCAGGCTAGGATGAATTGAGATGAGCTCAGCCAGCCGAGCTAACCTGGGATGGAGAGCTGAGTTGCGCCCAGGTGGACTGTGCTGGCCAGTCTTAACTGGGCTGAGCTAAGTCGGGCTGTGATGAGCTAGGCTAACCCAGGTCTGCATGGACTTGACTAAGGTAGGCTGGGCTAGGCTGTAGCGGTATGAGTTCCCCTGAGCTGAGCTGGGCTAAGATAAACCGAGCTGTATTTCGCGAGGCTCAGACTAGTTTAGCTAAGCTAGAATGAAGTGAGCTGGAATGTCAGACTGAGATGGGCGAGCCTGGACCGGCTTGGCTAGGACTTTGTTCTGAGACAGAATGTGTGCCAAGGTGGAATCCCAAGATGATTCCCTGAGTTCTGCCATCGTAACCCACCTTCCTCCTCGACACACGTTGTCTGCTTGTCTGGAGAGGCTTTGAAACAGTAGCAGCATCTTGACTTCTGGGTGCTTGCCTGAACCAAACAGGCAGGCCAGGTGTGGTGTGTCGTTTCAAGCTCCCTGTGCTGATGTGAAGCTTGAGCCCCTCCCCCACCACCACCACCTCCCGATGGGCTTCTATTGTTTTGGAATAGGAATGCTTCCCTCAGCTGACTTCTCAGAGGGAAGCCTAGCAGGACAGGGCTAAGCCTATTTGAGAAGCGGGGATCCTGGACTGTCCCTGAGAACAGGTGTCAGTGCCCCGCCCCTGGAGCTGGCTGACGATGGCGGAAGGGCCAGGTCCACTTAGTCTAGCAGGCATCTGTCCCTGTCCATGAAGGCTTACAGTGTTCTATGGCTGGAAAAGATACTCCGTAAGCCTGCAGCAACTTCGTCCTGTAGGCCAGGTTCGCCTACCAACATATCTAGCCCTGTCTGCCTTAAGAGCAACAGCCACAGAGGCGGGGGGGAATGCAGATAGCCCCTGACTGGTAGTGGACAAGCAGACAGATTCTTACTCCTCCTCCTCCGTTTCTCTTTTATCCCTCTCTGGTCCTCAGAGAGTCCGTCCTCCCCAACTGTCTTCCCCCTGGTCTCCTGCGAGAGCCCCCTGTCTGATGAGAATTTGGTGGCCATGGGCTGCCTGGCACGGGACTTCCTGCCCAGCTCCATTTCCTTCTCCTGGAACTACCAGAACAAGTCTGAAGTCAACCAGGGTGTCAGAACCTTCCCAACACTGAGGATGGGAGAGAAGTATGCAGCCACCTCTCAGGTGTTCCTGCCTCCCAAGAGTGTCCTCGAGGGTTCAGATGAATACCTGGTGTGCAAAGTGCACCATGGCAACACCAACAAAGATCTACGCGTGCCCATTCCAGGTAAGAACCAGCCAGTGGGGGCAGAGGCCCAGGCATGGCCCAGAGGAGGCCGGGGGCTGCAGCTTAGAGCAATCTGAGCTCACACCTTGTCCTTTCACTCCAGTCGTCACAGAGATGAACCCCAACGTGAGTGTGTTCGTTCCATCCCGGGACGCCTTCTCTGGCCCTGCCCCACGAAAGTCCAGACTCTTCTGCGAAGCCTCTAACTTCAGTCCCAAACAAATCACAGTGTCCTGGCTACGTGACGGGAAGCCTGTGAAGTCTGGCTTCACCACAGAGCCAGTGACTCCTGAAGACAGAGGTTCCGGACCCCGAACCTACAAGGTCATAAGCACACTCACGATCACCGAAAGCGACTGGCTGAACCTGAGTGTGTACACCTGCCGTGTGGATCACAGGGGTCTCACCTTCTGGAAGAATGTGTCCTCCACATGTGCTGCCAGTGAGTGCCCTGTCCTAAGCCCAGTGGCTATCCCTCCCAGATCAGGGCCACCCTCTTACAAGTAAGGCTAATGCCACCCTGACATGGCCATTTGCTCCTTGAGCCTTGGTTTCAAGGGCCAAGACCAGTGTCTTCCCTTAAGCAGAACCTCGGAGGTTCAGTAAATCAGTTGGTACTATTTGGGGATAGAGACTTAAGCTTTTCTCCGACTTCACAACTTGACAGCCACTGACACAATGTTTTCTTGACTGCAGGCCCATCCACAGACATCCAAGCCTTCCCTATCCCCCCCTCCTTTGTTGGCATCTTCCTCAACAAGTCTGCCACGCTGACCTGCCTGGTCACAAACCTGGCAACCTACGACACCCTGAACATCTCCTGGTCTTCCCGAAGTGGTGAGCCACTGGAAACCAAAACTAAACTCACTGAAAGCCACCCCAATGGCACCTTCAGTGCCATAGGTGAGGCTAATGTTTGTGTGGAAGACTGGGATAGCGGGAAGGAGTTCGTGTGCACCGTGACCCACAGGGATCTGCCTTCACCACAAAAGAAATTCATCTCAAAGCCCAGAGGTATGCATTTCCCATTTCCTTGTCCTCTGGTCAGCTCCAGGGTTCTTCCTCTGTGTCACAGGGATGGCAGGTCCCCTTCTGCCACCATATCCTCACCACTGTCTCTACTTGCAGAGATGAACAAGACCCCCCCTGCTGTGTACCTGCTGCCACCAGCCCGAGAACAACTGATCCTGAGGGAGTCAGCCACAGTCACCTGCCTGGTGAAGGGTTTCTCCCCCGCAGACATCTTTGTGCAGTGGCTTCAGAGGGGGCAACCCTTGTCCCAAGACAAGTATGTGACCAGCGCCCCAATGCGGGAGCCCCAGGCCCCACACCTCTACTTCACCCACAGCGTCCTGACTGTGACAGAGGAGGAATGGAACTCCGGGGAGACCTACACCTGTGTGGTAGGCCACGAGGCCCTGCCACACATGGTGACCGAGAGGACCGTGGACAAGTCCACCGGTAAACCCACACTGTACAATGTATCGCTGATCATGTCTGATGCAGGTGGCACCTGCTACTGACCATGCTAGCCCCCAACCAGGCAGGCTCTGGGGGGGCCAGTTGCACTGTTTACACAAACTAACCATGTCAGAGTGAGATGTTGCATCTTATAAAAACTAGAAATAAAAAAAAAGATCCACTCAAAAGTTGCTGGTTTTGATTTTGCAATGCTTTTGGCTGCCGAGGCAACGGCTGTGTTGTGTTTGCCTTGCACGCACCCTGCAGATTTGCCTCTGCCCTGACCCTTCCTCTGTCTGCACAGTTGCCTCCTTCTGTGTGAACTCACAGAGTGTAAGGATGCCATCCCTCCAGCTGCTTCCAGATACAGGGCTGGAAGCGTGGCTACCCTGGTGCAGGCAGAATTCAATGCACAGACACAGACAGACAGACAGACAGACAGACAGCATGTATTTATACACAGATACGGGTACACGTGTGCAGACACATGCACAGATATGTATTCATTCAAAAAGGTATACATAGAACCACCCTCACACTCAGCAACACTTGTATGCACATGAGCTCGCGCACACGTGATGAACATGCACAAACACCTTCAGAGACATGCAAACAGTCATAGACACAAAACCGCAACAGAAACAGATACCGGCACACATTCGACATGTGCACACAGAATCAGAGCATAGACAACTGAACCACATAGGCACAAAACCATGCATGCACACACCTGTACAGAAACATCTTGAAACATGCACACTAACAAGTGGACAGGCATGACACACGAATACACCTGGACTCTGACCAGGGCCATAACCTCCAGGGCTTGGGGCCCACAGAGCCCATACTAGGTTGGGTCACTGAAGCTTCTCAGGGAGCCCAGTCTATGCTTAGGGGAGATAGCTCCAAGAAGAGAGCATGCCTTCCTGTCCCAGCACCATGGGGCAAAAGACAGCCCACTGACCACCTATGACAGATACAAGTCAGACCGTCCAGACAGAATAGGTGTTCAAGCCTGATCTGGGGGCAGAAAAGCCGCCCTTGGCTGTGCCTCCATTAGTGGAACACCTTAGAAGATCAATAAGAGAGTGTCTACCCCAGTCACATACACCCTGGTCCCCAGTCCAGAATGCAGAAGACATAATGCAATTGTCCAGACAAAGCTGAATCCCCCAGCTTGGGTCATAAGACCCCCTTTGAGAACTCACTGTCCAATAATGCTGCCTCCTTAGGCCTACAGCCTGAAACTTATTCATATTCTTAGTCATTTGGGGCTTGGGCTTTAGATATCCCTAAAAGCTCATCTTTACAGGGGTCAGAGACCCCAATAAATGCTCCTCCCCGGTCCCACCGTCTCCCTCGGTGTACAAAGACCCAACATTGCGGGTAAGCGTAGGACAGAGCCACCCACAGGAACTCTGCTCAAATAGGGGCACAAGGTGTTGAAACTTTCAGGAAGTCAGCAGGGACAGCCTCAGGTGACCCCTGCTCTTCTTCGCAAAGCCCAGGAGACAGGGAACCCTACTCTAAATTCTCAGTCTAAACAGCCTCAATGGTGACGCCTGCTCAGAAAAAAATCCAGAACACACCAATACCGTTGTGCCAGGGATCCTGACTCTGCCTTCATCCTGTATCCATGTGCTGTACCTGTCTTGCTTACTCTGCTGCCCCAGTGCTCCCAGGACAAGGCCCCAAGCTGGTGCCTCCTTTTAGTTTGACGTGTGCTGTGCCTCTGCCTAGCTTGAGCTGTTAGGGGCACCAGTCAGTGCTGGCTAAGACTCCCCAGCCCTCAGGAAGATATGTTCAGCCATCCCAAGGCTTGGCTTGACCCTCCCTCTGTGTGTCCCTTCACAGAGGGGGAGGTGAACGCTGAGGAGGAAGGGTTTGAGAACCTGTGGACCACCGCCTCCACCTTCATCGTCCTCTTCCTCCTGAGTCTCTTCTACAGTACCACTGTCACACTGTTCAAGGTAGTGTGCTTGTGGGGAGCTGCCCAACCCTCTACTCCCCAGGAAATGGACGGCAATTGACACTGTCTCTGTCACCTGCAGGTGAAGTGACTCACAGCCTGAAAGACGTCTGAAACTGAGAAGCCCTCTCACAGGGACGTTTACCTCGGGGCCTGGGGTGGAACCTGCCTGTACGACGAGTAAACTTATTCCTATCTTTCCTGTGTCCCCCTCCTGCTCTGAGCTCAGAGCTGGACATCTTTCTAGACTAGTTAAAGACTTTGTCAACCTGTGCAACCTGAAGCAGGGTCTGGACCACATACAACTGTACCGGATATAAATGTTGCTTGGAAATAAATACTTATCCTGTGAACCCACTTTGTTTGTGAAGAAATTTGTTTTGTCTGAAAACCTTTCCTGCAGTGTTGGCATCCCAAGGATTTTCCGAAGACGGTTTGAGAACTGGCAATGAGCAATCTGATGGGGCTTAAGGGAAAAGGAAGGAGGGATGGGGAGAGGGTGGGGGAGAGAGAGAGAGAGAGAGAGAGAGAGAGAGCTCTGACAGCAATAGTAGCACTCTGACTTATCCACCCTGCTGGAAGAAAGCAGGGCACCGGAGCAAGAGAAGAAAGAGGAGGGAAGGTCGGGGGCTTCAGTTCCGAGAGGGAGACCCCACAAACACACGGTGAGGGAGGGCAGTGCAGGGCACTTCCTTGCGTGTGGTGTGGACAGCTGGTGAGGCCCACGGATAAAGGAAGCACAGGCTTACAGTAAGAGGACCACCAGGGAGGACATAGGAGCAGGATGTGAGAGAGAGCAGCAGGTCGTGGGAGGGAACTGTGCAGATTCCAGGCTCCCAAAGAGATGTTAAACAAGCATCTGGTGTAGCACATTGGTGATGGCCCCTGGACTGGGGTCCAGGTGGGTATCTGCAGGTTGCAGAGAGTAGCAAGCTCCTATTGGCTATTGGGAGGCCACAGTAGAGATGTCAGGGCTCATCACCAAATTCCAGGTTTACTTTAGGCATTGTCACCTCGGCACCCTGCCTGCCATGCCAGCATCTGTGTCCGTTTCCTTGGGCTGCTGGGGAAGCGCACCGCACATGCCAGCTTGAGCAACAGAGCTCTGGTCTTTCCTAGTTCTAGAGGCCAGGAGTCTGGGCTACAGCAAGCTGGTGTCCTCTGGGCCACAGGGAGAGCCTGCCACGGACTTCCTCTAGCTCTGAAGCCGTGGCATTTGGCCAACCCTTGTCTCCTGGCACCAACACTCCAGTCACTGTTCCAAATTCACGTGTATGTCTGTCTGTGTACCTACTGCCGTGTTCCAAGAACGCCGTCCTCCTGGGTTCCATGCCCATCTCAATGCGGCATGAGCTCCTCTCAACTAGATTCTGCCCACAATGACCTCAGAGCTGCCATGTGCAGCCGCTTCCCCCAGCAGCCCAAGGAAACGGACACAGATGCTGGCATGGCAGGCAGGGTGCCGAGGTGACAATGCCTAAAGTAAACCTGGAATTTGGTGATGAGCCCAGACATTCTCATAACGGATGTTGATACTCAGGGCTCAGAACTTCAGAAGCAAATCAGTAAGGGGCACAGTTCACCCCGTGTCTGCACCCGTATCCTCCACATGTCTCTGAATACTGGGGAGTGAGTCACCGAAAACAGATGACTTCCAGAACCTAAGAAAGAAGAGTAGCCCAGAGAGACCCAAAGCAAGGTTTGGGAAAGAGCCAGGATGCTGTCTCTGCTCAGGTGCTCCTGGATGTTCCAGAGACTCTGAGGATGCAGAAAACTGACTGTCCCTGTCAAGGACATGGGATAATTACAACCAGGAGGGGTAGGGTCACTAGTGTTTGAAAGAGCACGGGGTAGGTCTCTTCCCAAGAAACCCAAGGAGGGTTCAGAAAAGAGGTGGTGACACAGAGAGATGGACACTTCTGCTGAGACTGGCCAGGGGGCTTCAAAGCCCTTCTCCCCAGGCATCCTGGGACTAGGAGTCATTTTTATGAATCTGGCATGGAATGATAGTGCCCAGGCATCGCCTTGACCTCTCCAGTCCCATGTCCTCAGGACTCCACTATCTGTCTTGCCGCAGCCTCTGAAGAGGAACCTCAAGTGCTGCTCCTCATCTCAGAGTGCACGGCCCCTACCAGAAACAAGTCGGTGGACCTGATCTGCTCGGTATTAGGAGAAAAGCCGTTGGAAATCACCATTGAATCAAAAGCAAAGCACAAGACGGAGAGGACCTTCGACTTCAGGCTTAGCAGTGGCAAACATATGGTGATTCGACAGCTCTCTACGTGGACCTCAGAACTGGGTGGTAACCCCATTTGCACCATGAGAGGCCAGTTCAACAAGAACATTACGAAGACTTTACGATTGCCTGGTGAGTTATCCCCGAGCCACACAGAAGGGTCTTAATGGGGCTTTCCCGCACCCGCGCTCAGCTAACCCCAAAGACTGACTGCAGCAAGACCCCCCCCCACGCCTTTGCTCATGGAGCAGCACTCTTAGGCCCTCCCTCTCTCTTCCCCCTATCCATTCCCTCCTTTTCCCCCTCTCAGCTGCTTTATCAATCCAACATTTACACCACGCCCTGGGGACCCTGTCCTAAAGCACAAGGAGACGGCTGGGTGAGCAAACGCAGTAGCTGAACACTGAGCCGTCCACACCAGCACCTTCCCATCCCGCGCGCCCCGCCCCCTGGCTGCTTTCCACTCCCTGGGCACCTCGGTGGAGTCTGCCCATCTGTCCTCTCACCTACGCCGTTTGTCCATAGCTTCTTCCATTACAGAGGAACAGAATGCTCAGTCCTCCCAGAAAACCACTCCACCTCCCCAAGCAGAGGAGCCCTTCCCAGAGGCCACCAAAGCTGCTGACCTCCAAACGGACACAGTAGGTAAGAAGTCACAATTCACCACGCCCCAACTCATCTGTTCAACCTTACCCCTCCTCCACCAGGAAACCCTCCAAGACTCCTTTTCCGAGCTGTCAATGTACATCCTAGGTAGAAAGGGTGACTAAAATGACCCCTGTGCCTGTTGCAAGCTATCCAGGTACCAACAGGTGCCACCATCTAACCCTGTTAGGGCATCATCCCTTTTTGAGCTAAATATGAGCTAAACAAAGGAAGGGCCAGCACAAGGGCCTGCCTGGCCCACAGGAACTGAGCTCTGAGGCAGACTGTGAATTCCTCATGGACCCTGCAGGCATATGACCACACAGACAACAGAACTTCTCTGAGACACATAAGAATCTCATTAGAGGGTCAGGGGGACCATCACACCCAGACTCCAGGACGTTTCCTTCCCCCACATGCTTCCCCCACCTCCTCCTAGCTCTACCGTCTTACTGTGTCAGTCCCTGACTGGGTTGGCCCTAAGGCTCACCCTTACCCATCAGCCATCTCAAGAAGAAGCATCCTAACTAGAGGTTCTGTTTGTAGAAGTTCAAGGTTTGTGAACCTCCCAGCCTGAATTCCTGTGTAGCTGGTCGGCCTGTATTGCACTGAGAGTATGCCCAGGTCCCCATATGACAAAGAGACAGCAAGTGTATTTACAGAAATGATTTGCAAATCATACATCCATGTTTAAAATGAGACAATATCGTAAAAGATCATCTATCAAAAAATGTTCAATGCCACTAGTTATCAGAGAAACACAAGTTAAAACTGAAATGAGCTATCACCTGATACCTTTAAGAATGCCTAACAAGCTAGTTCACCCAGTAGTAGGAGGTTCGGCCCCAAGCCCTATGACCTCGGATGTGTAAAACTAACCCTACTGTGTAATTCAGAAATTCTGCTTCTGAGTTTAAGCTCAGCAGATACCCTTACCCCACTGGTCAGTGTGGTGCAATCAACCCAAGGGCCCTTCAGTGGCTGGGTAAAGGAAATGCCGCGAGACTTGATTAAAGAAAGAATTCCTATCATTGGCTATAATGATAACCCTGAAACATTACATCAAATGAAATAAGCCAGATACGAAAAAGTCCTGTCTCCAAAATGAAACAATTAAGTTGAAAGAAGAGATAAGAAGGAAAGGAGGGGAGAGGCCCATGTGTTATAGCTGACCCTGGAACTATTGCAAATCTGTAGCTTAAGAGCCTACTAGCTGTGTGAGCCTGGAAATGCAGGTACGAGCTTCAGAAGAAAGTCCTTGAACACTGAGAAATCTCTGACCCTCAGGAACTCCCAAGAGGGCCTACTGTGTCTCTGCTAGAACAGAGGGCATGAGGGAGGCATATTAATGGAAAGAAGAGCCCTCCCTTAGGACCTCCAAAGCCAGCGCCACCCCCAGAACAGGGAGGCAGGTTCCCTCCCCTTTCAGGCTAAGGGGAAATCTGAGGGCTCTGTGGACAGGCCAGAGAAGTTCCCACAGTTCCAGGGTAACCATAGCCAGAGCACTGTATCCGGTGAGAGAGCACCAGCTTGGAAGATAGAAAGTTTAGGATTAGCCTGGCCTTCAGAATACAGAATGTTGGACATAGAGAACAGATGCAGAAACCTGGCCTACATTCCCAAATACTGGCAAGAAGCCACAGAGTAACAAAACCTGTGCCTGTTCAGGAGGCACTGGGCATTCCTGGGAGCCAGACGGTGACCAGGAGAAGCAATGTCTCCGGCATAGGCCTTTACACACCAAGCAGGTCCCAAGCAGAGGCAGCCTTGTGTGATCCAGGTGAAACCTATCCCCACCCCACCACAAGGCTACCCAATGCCCCACCTACCCCCAACAGTGCTCAGGCCATCAGTGCTGTCAGATGGGTGTGGGGGGGTAATGTCTTCTGTCCTCTTACAAGTCTCTAGATGCTTCCAGGCCATGTGTGACAAAATAATAAGCCTCTTACCGCTTCTCCTCACAGAGGCCATTGCACCCAGAAACCTCTCTGTGAACTTCCTGGTCACGCCAACCCATCCTGAGATGTCATCATGGCTCCTGTGTGAAGTTTCTGGCTTCTTTCCCCACCATATCCACCTAACATGGAGGTCCCAAAGTGAGATAAACCCTTCGTACTTTGCCACTGCACAACCCATCCCACAGCCTGGGGGCAACACATACCAGACCTGGAGTGTCTTGAGAACACCGGTCACTCTGAAGTCTTCACCTGACACTTACACTTGTGTGGTGGAACATGGAGCCTCACGGACCAAGCTTAATGCCAGCAAAAGCCTGGACGTGAGCGGTAAGTCACACCTGGGTTAAGAGTGTCAAGCAAGAACCTATGGTAAAGAAATACTCTTATCTGTTTGGGGAGGAGAGGTCTGCGCTGTCTGGGGAGAGGAAAACTGTGCTTATCCACTTCAGCTCAGAGGAAAGGACCACACAGCACTCCACCCTCCCCACAGCTCTTATACTCTCTCAGCCCCCTCCGCCATGGTGTTTACTGAGCCCCGGAGAGAGTGACGCAGGTATTCACTCACTTTCTTGGGCCAGTGTTCCATGGGAACAGCTGCTTATTATCAGCAGCTAGACCAGGTATAAATCTCCCCGATTGCCACTGCTTCTCACTGGGAAACGATGCTTCCCTCCGTAGGTGAGGCTGACAGCAGCAGTAGGCTGCGAATGTGTATGCACACGCTTGCAATCCGGCTGTACAACAGTTTCACAAGTCCACAACATCCGACTAACAAACAACACCAGCTGCTTCTCCAGTGGAGCCCCTGTCACAGGGTTCTCCCTTGGCTTTTGGTACCAAACACGAATCCCCTACTATAGAGCAGAGCTCAAATCCAATAGGAAAGGAGTTGGTGGCACCCATAAACCGTCATGCCACTATTACACCAATAGGCAGATCTCATATAGCAAGTTGATTAGTGTAGCCCTCAGAGACCATATTCAAGAAAGACTGTTGACCTATATAACATCTTCAGGCACTGCAAAGGCCAGCCAGAAGGTTGGCAGCTTCTGCTTCAGTACTAGCCTGTTTTCTCTGCCATGCAGCCAAAGTTTACGGAGTCATTTGCAGTAGGAATTTACCATGTGGCTCTGGTGTGCAACTAGCATCAGTGATGATAGCCTTTATGGTTTGAGGCTCCTCAAGGGCCTCTCTGGTCAATAATTTATATATAGGAAGCCATACCTGGTCCTGGGGCTTTCATTCAACAAGCTATGGATTCCACCTACACACAGTACCTTTAATGTTTAAACTCTATGTCTCCTCTTAACGGTTCATTGTTTCTTTCCATCAACCCAGCCCCTATAGGGTTGTAAGGTAGGTGGAAGTTGGCTCTGGATGTCCTCAGACACTTTCTCTCTATCACTGTTTGTGAAATGATGGCCCCTTTTATTGACAGTTCTCCATTGGTGCCTATATATAACACTGTGCTGTGTGAAACCCTTGCCGGCAGCTTTTCCCGTTGCTTGCTTATACAGAAATGCTTGGGAAATTCCTGTGGCAGTGTCCATGTAGGTGAGGACACATTTACATTCCTCACTGAGAGGCACAGACCTTTAGGAAATCCACCTGACAATCCCATATAGGACAGCTAGGCTTATATATTTGCCCGTCATGCATCCATGTGTTGATGACATCATCAGGAACAGCCCTCACCTGTTTGTGCAACACGCAGAGGACCAGAACATTTCAAGAGAAACCCAGAAGCTTTCATCATTTTCTAGCCTTCAAAGATTTACAAGCAAAGAATTTGGTTTTCTGTCAATTTTTTTCTCTCTAGAAGCTTTGGCTTAACGCAGATCTTGCCACATTTTTTCCGAGTGACCTGTACAACTCCCACTATCTGCTCCCTCATTTATATTTTAACATCCCCAAGATGTTTCAGCACCTCACAAACCATACTTACACCTTTTTCTAAATCATTCAGGTCTACTAGAGTCTCACCCATCTCTTAAAGATCACACGTCCCAATGGAGCTCAGCAGAGCCACAGAAGGAAGGACGCCTCATGCCTCATGTTAATCCCTGCTGAGTCAACCCCCTCCTTAGCTCTCCAGTAAACACACTCCCACCACCCCAGTGAACTGGCCATTAAACATTATTTCTCATGTGTTTAGATTACTCGGCGATGACTTTAGACTGTGTTTCAGTCACGTCCGATGTTCATGGGGACCTCAGCCAGCAATAACCGAGCATTCCTAGTGTGTCCAAGTTTTAGTTTGCTCGTTTCGCTTTCACCCCAGGAAAGGCTGTTTAGACCAGGCCCAGTTCTCCTTCCGTTGCCGTGTGGGTATTTCCTCTGAATTAAAACACTCCCTCTTGGAGGGAGTGATTCCCCGTGTGTCACCTCAGGTTAATGCAGCCTTTGTCTCAAGGAAGGACGAACAGTTCAGTTTCTCGGTTTCTCCATCTCACAACATTGACCCTGTCCTCTGTGTCCTGTGTCTCCAGGCTGTGTGAGACTCTGGCTTGGCTTTTCCCTCTTCACTGTGTTCTTTTCTCCGTGGGTTCCGAGTTATCAGACCTCAAGAAAGGCTCTTTAGCAGAAATCTGGGCTGTCTCTTCCCTTCATCCCCTGCCAGCTCTAAGAAAAAGCAAGCCAGCGCCTCCTCGCAACCTTTTTCTCTGCTTTCCCTTCGGAAACAGAAGCCACCATAGAAGACAGCATCTGTGTGTCTTTCCCTCTACGTCCCCCCTTCTTTACACAAGCCAAGATTTTCCTAGGCAGGCAACTAAGCCACAGTCACACATCTTACCTCATCCTGGGAAGACCATGGAGAACGCACCACACTTGCTGTGCCATCCCAAACGCACTCTTTTCGGGGCTTACAATATGTTCTCTAGCCTAGCATCCATTTGAGTAAAACCGCACACTGTAGATCCATTTCAGGGAGGCATGCCGCCTCGTCCTGTGTAAAAAAAAATGATGGTCAGCCAAGAGTTCCTCCAAAATGTTCTACCCCCTGACAGGTCAGACTTGGTGGCAGGAGAGCCTATGACCCCTGACAGGGAGAAAACAGCCGCCACAACTGGAACCATGCCATCCCATACCACAAAGAAACCTTAGACCTGAGCGTCATTTGCCTCATTTCTTTCTCTCAGTGGCTGGAGAGCAGACAGGACCATGACCCAGGGCTGCTGTACACTTGACATGACCTGGGGTTGGAAGGGGCCAGATAGGCCCCATCTGAGAGCCCCTAAGTATGAGCCTGGTGGGAACAGAGCAGGTTGTGAGGACATCGGTGGGCGTCATCCTACCCAGTCAAGATGTGTGCCCCCAACAAATCAATTTTAGATAAGCCCTGTCCTCAGTGTGGCCGGGCCCAAATCAGCAACACTCCCCGACTTAGGCCCTGGCAGTGACACAATATGTCCACAACCCCCTACCCAAGGGATACAAAATTAAGGAACAGAATGGGACTCCAGCAACCATGAGACCATGCTAGGCCCAGTAAAGCTACCAGCCTGTCAGTCTTGGCTCTAGGCTTTGAAAGCCTGGCCTGTTGTATGTGCCTCAGGACCCTGGGGGCTCCAGCAGTGAGGAAGTCCTCCAAAGGCCATGCTCATTGTCTGACTGCACTGTACTGACTGAAGATGAGACACCCCACTGCCTCTCATGGGCCGGCCTCCTGCCGGGTGGGGGAGGCTGGATCCCCTCCCCTCCTCCCCCAGTGTGGTGGCCTCATCACTGCTAAAAGGGGCCTGTCCTAGACTTGCCCCAAACCAGCCTCTTCTCCTGTGGTAATGCTTCCCCCAGAGGACACTAAGGTTCTCCCTTACTTGCCTCCCTCGGGACTCTCTGAAGGCCTCTGCATGCTTAGGAGGCCTGGGCAGCGTGCCCTGTCGTCGTCCTCATTAGAAAGGGACGTCCCAAACTTGTCTCTCTGTGTCCTCTCCTACTTCCCCTCATCCTGTCCTCCGGTCTAGCCCTGTGCCAGGCTTCACGTGTCATGAGAAAGACACATCTGCCTGTGTCTCACACGGCACTCCCCTGTCACCCTAGCTCCTGAGCGCGCCACAGGGCTCTTACTTCTGTCCTTACTTAGCACTTGGGAGGCTCCAGTCCCACTGGCCTCTATGGAGTCAATCCTGCCCTCGCCACCTGCCACCACCGCTCTGCTGCCGTCTCTTAAACATTGTGTTTCTGTGTAGATGTGGGAGAGCATTGGATTAGACACTCGGGCCACTGCAAAAGAAATGCACCAAGGAAACTTTTGACACCACCATTTCATTTAAAACTGCTAGTGAGCCAAGGAATCAGCAAAGCTCAGGTAGACTGCATTCCCAGGTGAGAGGACATGGCTGTTTCATCCTGCCCTAGGCACACACGGGCAGAACAGTAGTCATCGGTGACGGGACATCAAGAAATCCACCAAAATTTTCCTGACTACCTTAGCCAGCAGGAGGAATGAGAGCATAGGAGAGCCCCAGATTCTGAGGTAATCACCCACCCCACCCCCCACTTAGGACACTGCTAGCAAACAGCCCCTGGAAGGACAGCTTGGGGGTAGCAGAATGCCGGTCTTGTACCAGCTCCAAGGCCTGCTGAATGTAATGGACTGACTCCATCCCAAAGCACCTAGAGTCAGCAACCCAGCTCAGTTCCCAGTTCCACAGAACAGGCCTTCCATGCCTGATGGAGGTGGGGGACGTGTGCATCTGTTTCACCCCAGACTCTACCGTTCAGGTGTATACAATGCCCAGTAGTGGGAAATTACAAGATACAAAATGATTGATACCTTAAGACAAAACAGTTCTTGAAGTGAGACCTTGGGTGCATGAAATGTTTGGACAACATTCACAGTTTTCTTTTTTTTTTTTTACAACTATCACATCAATATTATTTATTACTACCTTGCTCTAAGTCCATTACCGCTTTTGGGGGGCTACTACAATAGTCTCCAAAATAGCCTCTCTTCTTTTTTTTTGAGTTTTTTTATTTTAATTTTAAATAGCTTGTTTTACATGTCAATCCCAGTTCCCTCTCTCTCTCCTCCTCCCACACCTCCCACCATGCCCCCCATCCTCCCACCCTATTGCCAATTCCTTCTGAATAGGAGATATCTAGAGTCTATCATTTCATTCAGGGTAGGGTCCAGGCACTTCCCTAAGAGTCCAGGCAGAGAGAGCAACCCTCCTTGTGTTATGGACATACGATGTCTGTTAGTATTCGAGGGATAAACACTGATCTACTGCTCAGGAACCCATAGGTAGCCCAGGCCTCCTCATTGACTCTCACATTCAGGGGGTCTGGATCGGTCCCATGCTGGCCTCCCAACTGGCCTCTAGTGATGTAAAGGGATGACACCAATTGGCAAGCTAAGCAATAGTGTAGAGACCACCTCGAATGCCCATTCCTGATAGTGAACTTGATGTCTATAACCATCCTGGAGCCTTCATCCAGTGACTGATGGAAGCAGAGGCAAACACCCACAGTTAAACACTGAACTGAACCCAAGGAACCCAGCGACAGAGAGAGAGGAGCGAAGAGCAAAATGGCAAAGAATGGGCTGGCAAAACCAGCAGAGACAGCTGATCCGAACAGGGGAGAGCTCTTGGACCCCAGACCCACAGTTTTCTTTACTGTAAGAAATCCCAGACCTGCGAGGGTGTGAGTGGGACTCAGCCTCTCCCAGTGGAAAGCCTTCCCTGAGAACCTGTGCCTACAGTAGACCCCACAGAGAGCCTACTGCTGTAGAACCCTCTCACCCAGATGCCTGCCGCTGTCTCTCACTTAAACCTGTGTTCTTCCCAAGATTCAATGACCCCACTGACACCTGGAGGAGTCAGATGGCCCTCCCAGGAGGCCGGCTGACCCTGCCCTCTCCTGAGACCTTGCAGTGCTGAATAGCGATTGTGTGCGCTGTCTGGTTGGCTCATTTGCCTCTGTATTCAGTCGCCTCATACTTCTTGTGGTAAAGAAAGTGGCTTTCCTACATTCTTAGTACACTGTAGAGCAGCACTTCCGTAAATTAGAGTAAGAAATGATCACCAAATAAATGAGCAGACACAAACATCCTCTCACCTTCTTTTTTATCTCTGTGGGAACTGTCCCAAGGCCTCCTGTGGACGCCTGAAACCAGGGGTGTTGCCAAGCTGTGCTACTTCAGCAATCAGCCTGTAGCTGAGGTGGGTCCTGACTAACAGACAGGCATGCTGGCAGCTTGAAGCCTGGACAAAGGGAGGGTTGGCATTCCATGCGAAGTGCTCCAAAGTGTGCGACTTAAAACGAGTAGCTTCTCGATGCCACGTTCTCCAACCATAGGTCGTTGAAACTGGAAGCTATGGGTAGGGAGACTGCTGCCTGACTGATTCTTGCCATGCTAATAAGATACCATAGTCTATAATACCCACACAATCTCAGTACCTGCCACCTTGATCTGGTGAAATGGCCTTAGGCCAGCCCATCCACAGACTTCACAGTGACTCTACCAAGCATACGTAGACCCTCAAACGGCACTTGCGCCGTGGACGACCCAGGCAGCCCTGCGACCCACCTGCCTTGGACTTTCACACCTCGAGCTGGGGTGTGCTTTCTGTGGAAGTGTGCTCTCCTAGAACGGCCCGTCGGCCATTGCTGTGTCTGGCCTTAAACCGCACTTCAGTCCCCAGCTGGGATTTCCAGGCACACATTTAGTTATCACATAACCTCCCTTAACATCTTCTGTTCCCTCCTCCTGTTACCCTTAGGGTTAAGGTACCATGGCTAGGACGCTTCCAGATCTCCCCTTCCACCTGCCACCGCTTGGGGTCCCCTTCCGACTCCAGGGGTAATGCTCTTTCCCAGCGTGCACCACGAACAGTTTCTTTTCTTGGAATGCTACTCCCCCCACCCCACCCCCACTCTGTCTCTTTTGTGCCACATCTTCCGGAGAAGCCTCTGCAGGACAGCCTGCCTCATCTGGCCACTGCTTCTAGGTCTTCTGAAGCAGCAAACCATCTCCTGCCCCATCCAGGTGGCGGTGGCATGCATTTGCATCGGGTTTAGGTTCAGGTCTGGCCAAATCCCACACAGACCAATCTATGTGCGAGAGCCCAGGACCCAGCAGGCTGTGGGGGGAAGGTGAGTGGAAGGACCCTGTGGGGCAAAGCAGTTGGCAGGCACTTTTTGTTGCTTTTGTTTTTCAAGTCAGGGTTTCCTTGTGTAGCTTTGGAGCTTGTCCTGGCACTTGCTCTGTAGACCAGGCCTGCCTTGAATGCACAGAGATCCACCTGCCTCCGCCTCCCGAGCACTAGGATTAAAGGTGTGCGCCTCCACCGCCACTGGGCCCTTCTGAGAGGAAGTGTTAAGTACTGGTGGGGGAAGATATATGAGCAAAGTGTAGCTGCTGAAAAGGAGACCCCGTACCTTCAGGTTCAGTGGGCGGGAGAGCCGGCTAATGAGGAACGGTCCAGCTGTAGGGCGGAGGCCTCCTCATGGGCATTCTTTCTTCCCCAGGCACGGTCAACACCATCCCCAACGTGTGCTTCAGAGACGAGCAAAACGACAGCTACGTGGACCTAGAGGACAACGGCCTGTGGCCCACACTGTGCACCTTTGTGGCTCTCTTCCTGCTCACATTGCTCTACAGCGGCTTCATCACCTTCATGAAGGTGGGCCTCCCTCCCAGCCTCCCTCCCAGCCTCCCAGCAGCCCCTGAGGGGGGCGCGTAAGATGTCCTTCCAGGGACATTCTGAAGCCAGCCAGCATTTCCGGAGTGGCTGGAATAGGGCTGGGGGATGTACCCGTAACTGAGGGAGGGTGTGTGGTCCCCGCCCAGCTTCTTGGCTGTCTGTATTCTAGCTCCTGGGGCCTGCCCTGTTTCTCAGACCGTGGCCCCTAGATAACCCATTCCACCCCACCCCGGATTCTCTGGCAGGTGAAGTAGACCAGGACTGCAACTACAAAAAAAAAGTGCTTTCCCTCAATGTGAAGCCCACAGAGAGGATGTCTTCTATGCGGAGAGAAGCTCCAAGCCCTCTTCCCGACCCCCTGTTCTCTATCCAGCCTCCCAGACACAAAATGGCCGGCATCTTTGGCTGTAGGCAAAGCAGGCGACTTGCTGCACTAGCCCGGCTCCTCACTGTGCCCTGCCTTCCACCAAGCCCCCATCCTCCCATAAACACGCCATGGTTCACTCCACCTGCCTCCTGCTTTTTTTGTTCCCGAGGTCTGGCTAAAGTCAGTTCAAAGAGCATGGGGTCTGAGGCAAACAGGGGAAAGGCCCACTCAGGAGCCGTGTCAGGGTCACACTGAGGGAAACTGTCGAGTGAACTCAGATACTCTGCCCCCACCCTAAACACACAGCTGACTTCGCACGTTCACGTAGGCGTGGATGCACACACGTGTTCCCAGCACAGGCCCTCAGATACAGCGTTCACACATGCATGATGACACAGGTGGATATGCATGTGTGCCTGCACATACCTATTCGTGTGCACACAAACTCACTCCGGGGGGCCTTAAGTGGCAGGGATGGGAGCGGTGGTCATTTGAATAAGAATGGCCCCTATGGGCTCATATAGTTGAATGCTTAGCCACCAAAGAGTGGCAAGTCTCTGACGGGATTAGAAGGTGGTCTTCAAAAACCCATGTCAGGTCCAGTGTCTGTCTGTCTGCCTGCCTGCCTGTCTATGGATCAGGATATAGATATTTCTCCAGCACCGTGTTTGTCCGCCTGCTGTCAAGCTCCCCATCATGATGTAATAGACTGGCCTTTGACCCTGTAAACAAGCCCCACTTAAACGCTTCCTTTTATAAGATCTGCCATGGTCATGGTGTCTCTTCACAGCAATGGGACAGTGACTAAGACAGGGACTATCCCACATGCAGATCTTCTATGCGTTCTGGCCCCTCATCTTAACCACATGTGCAGGACCCTGCGTCCCTGTGTCTCCACCTCCTCTGTCACAAAGATTGGCGGTACACAGCCATCGAAACTGAGATGGGAGAGTCAACGAAATCCTATGTCAAAGGGACTCAAAAATGAGGTTGGTGGTAGACAACATGTGGTCAGTGTCACCCTCTTGTTACCTGCTGTGGAGTGATTTATGCTCCCTAAATTCATGCTGATACCCTTACCTCCGGGTATCAGAAGGTAATGGGATCATGAAAACAGAGTCCTCCTAGTTGGGATTAGTGTCTTTGCCAATTGGCCCAAGGAGACTCTTCGCCCAGGCACAGTGAATCTGTCCATAAATACAGAAATGAGTCCTGTAATACATGGAAACTGCTGGAACCTTTGTAACAGATGCTCAGCCTCAGAATGAGAAGCACATCTCTGTTATTTATGGTTCATTTGGTTCAAGGTACATTTTTGTAGGCACACAGTCACACTAAGGCATCAGCCAACATCCTTTGGTGTGATGATGAGTCTGAGACTCTGACTCATTCTCTTTTTTCCTTTTGTTATTTATCTATTTTACATCCCAAACACAGCCTCCTCTCCCTCCTCTACTTCCATACCCTCCCCTCACCTTCCCTTCAAAACCCCAATTCAATCCACTCCTCCACCATTTCTCTTTAGAAAGGGGACGGCCTCCCCTGAGGATATGGCATATCAAGTTGCAATAGACTAAGCACATCCCCTTGGCAAGGCAATCTAGTGTTAGAAATAGATACCCAAGAGCCAGTCAAAGTGTTAGAACAACCCCTGCTCACATTGTTAGGAGTCCCACAAGTAGACCAAGATATGTAACTGTCACATATATGCTTAGGTCTGTCCAATGCAGGCCCCCAGTTGTTGGTTCAGACTCTGTAGTTCCTATGAGCCAAGTTGTTTCTGTGGCTTTTCTTGTGATGTCTCTGACCCCTCTGACACCTACAATCCTTCCTCCCTCTCTTCACCATGATTCCCCAAGCTCCACCTAATATTTGACTGTGGGTCTCTACATCAGTTTCTGTCAGTTACCAGCTGAAGGCTCTCTACTGACAACTGGTGTCGTCACAAATCTGACCACAAGAGACAGCCAGTTCAGTCTACACAACCACTATTGCTAAAAGTCTTAGTTGGGGTCATCCTTGTAGATTTATGCAAATTTCACTTGACTTTCGGCCTGACTCTGAAAAGTACCCCCTTTCCAGTCATCTCTGTCAGTACTCTCCCCCTCCACCCACACACCCCCAACCAGATCCCCCAAGTTCCCATCCCCGCCAACCTCAGCCCACTCAGGAGATCTCCTCTATTTCCTCTTCTAAGGGAGATTGATGTGTCCCCCCTTGGGCCCTCCTTACTACCTAGTCTCTCTGGATCTGTGGATTGGAGCATGGTTATCTTTTACTTTAGAACTAATATACACTATGAGTGTGTACATGCCATGTTAGTCTTTCTGGGTCAGGGTTACCTCACTCAGGATGATTTTTTTCTAGTTCTATACATTTGCCTTCAAATTTTCTGATGTAATTGTTTTTAACAGCTGAGTAATCCTCCATTGTGTAAATGTACAGTATTTTATTTATAAATTCTTGGATTGAGGGCCATCTAGGTTGTTTACAGGTTCTGACTATTATCAATAATGCTGGTGTGAACATAGTTGAGCAAGTGTCCTTGTGGTATGGTTGAGCATCCTTTGGGTATATGCCCAAGAGTGGTATAGCTGGTTCTTGAGGTAGATTGATTGCCAATTTTTCTTGAGAGTCTGCCATATTGATTTCCAGAGTGGCTGTACAAGTTTGCACTCCCACCAGCAGTGGAGGAGTGTTCCCTCTGTTCCACATTCTCTCCAGCATAAACTGTCATTGGTGTTTTTGATATTTGCCATACTGACAGGTATAAGATAGAATCTCAGTGTAGTTTTGATTTGCATTTCCCTAATGGCTGAGGATGTTGAACATTTCTTTAAGTGTTTCTCAGTCATTTGAGATTCTTCTGTTGAGAATTCTCAGTTTAGGTCTGTAACCCATCTTTTAATTAGATGATTTGGTTTTTGGTGTCAGTTTTTTATATATATTTTAGAGGTCAGCCCTCTGTCAGATATGAGGTTGGTGAAGATCTTTTCCCATTCCGTGGGCTGCCATTTTGTATTATGGACCGAGTCCTTTGCCTTACAGAAGCTTTTCAGTTTCAGGAGGTCTCATTCGTTGTTGATCTCAGTGTCTATGCTACTGATATTCTATTCAGGAAGTTGTCTACTATGCCAATGTGTTCAAAGCTACTTCCTACTTTCTCTTCCATCAGCTTCAGTGCAACTGGATTTATGTTGAGATCCTTGATCCACTTGGACTTGAGTTTTGTGCAGGATGATAGATATGGATCTATCGGAATTCTTTTACATGCCGACGTTCAGTTATACTAGCACCATTTGTTGAAGATGTTTTGGCTTCTTTGTCAATCATCAGTTGTCCATAGGTGTGTGGATTTATGTCTGGGTTTTTTATTCAATTTCGTTGATCAATGTGTCTATTTTTAGCCAAACCATGCTGGTTTTATTACTATAACTCTGTAGTAGAGATTGTTTTAGATATCCTGTTTTTTTTTCACATGAAGGTGAGTATTCTTTCAAGTTCTGTAAAGAATTGTGTTGGGAATTTAATGGGGATTGCATTGAATCTGTAGATTGCTTTTTGTAAGATTGCCACTTTTACTGTGTTAATCCTACCAATCCATGAGCATGGGAGAGTTTTCTGTCTTCTGATATCTTCTCCGATTTCTTTCTTCAAAGGTTTGAAGCTCTTGTCATACAGATCTTTCATTTACTTGATTGTAATTACCCCAGAATATTTTATGTTGTTTGTGGCTATTGTGAAGGGTGTTGTTTGCCTTCTATTGTTTGTATATAAGAGAGCTATTGATTTGGGGGGGGCATAATCTTGTATCAGTTGTAGGAATTTCCTGATAGGATTTTTGAATCCCTTATGTATACCATCATGTCATCTGCAAATAGTGATACTTCAACTTCTTCTTTCCCAATTTGTATCCCCTTGATCTTTTGTTGTCTTATTGCTTTAGCTAGAACTTCATACTATAGTGAATAGATGTAGAGAGAGTGGACAGCCTTGTGTTGTTTCTGATTTTGTTGGCTTTTGACTTGCTGTATATTGCTTTTATTATATTTAGGTATGTTCCTTATATCCCTGATCTCTCCAAGACTCTTGTCATGAAGTGGTGTTGGATTTTGTCAAAGGCTTTTTCCCATCTAATGAGATGATCATGCAGGATTTTTTTCTTTCAGTTTGTCTATATGGTAGATAACATTGTTAGATTTTCTTATGTTGAACCATCCCTGAATCTCTGGGAATGAAGCCCATTTGATCATGGTGCATGATCTTTTTTTATGTGTTCTTGGATTCAGGTTGCCAGTATTTTATTGAGTATTTTTGCACCAATGTTCATGAGGGAAATTGGTCTGTAATCCTCTTTCTTTTTGAGTCTTTGTGTGGTTAACCTCTATATCTAAGCAGATTACTGTGGATTAAAGTTGGAGTTCAACAACAACACAAACTACAGAGTGGGAGGAAAGGAAGGAGGGGAAGCTGTGGTCAGGGTGTAAAATAAATAAATTTAATTTTAAAAGGTAACAGAGGATTATTCCAATTTTTGTATCTGGTAAGACTTGCTTTGTGACCCAGTATGTGGTCAGTTTTGGAGACAGCTCCATGAGGTGCTGAGAAGAAGGTATATTCTTTTATGCTGAAGTGAAACGTTCTATATCTGTTAGGTCCATTTGAGTCATAACATCTGCTAGTTCTGTTATTTCTCTCTTTAGTTTCCATCTGGATGACCTATCCATTGGTTAGAGTGGGGTATTGAAGTCTCCAGCTATTAATGTGTGGAGTTTGATTTAAGCTTTAGCAACGTTTCTTTTACAAATGTGAGTGTCGTTGTATTTGAGACATAGATGCTCTGAATTGAGAATTCATCTTGGTGGATTTGTCCTTTGATGAACATGAAATATCCTTCTCCATCTCTTTTGATTAATTTTGGTTTTATGTTTATTTTATTAGATATTAGGATAGCTATACCAGCTTGCTTCTTAGGTCCATTTGATTGGAAAATCTTTTTCCAACCCTTTACTCTGCTGTAATGTCTGTCTTTGATGTTAAGGTGTGTTTCATGTATGTTGCAGGAGGATGGATCCTGTTTTTTGTACCAATTATGTTAACCTGTATCTTTTTATTGGTAAATTGAATTCATTGATATTG